AAATCACAAATTCTTTATTGTTATCAGTAGATTAATTGTCTCAAATGATTTATATAAGGTACAATGTCATCGTTTACAACTCATTACTTCAGCTAGATGACAACTATCAAAAACAATTCAAAAACAGCTCAATCAAACTTCAATACAAATTTCTTCCACAAGAGCATAATTTAACTTATATTTTCGTCAAATAACTAGAAGTTCTACAAAAAAAACTCAGAACAAGAGAAATAGAGAAGTGATCGAGACAGCTCGTGCCCAACAGTTTAGCTCAATCTGAAAAATCTAAATCCCGAGTATCCCTTTATTTTCGGTTGAACAGAGTAGAAGAAGAGTAGAAGACAATTTCAATCCAGAGATCGCAAAAAGAAGTTTAAACCCCTAGCATTGTCCCATATAATGTGAAAAGAGTTGATAAAGACCAATAAAATTACTCAAGAAATTTTTCTGCAACAGAGGAGCTGTCAAGAATTCATTATGTACCTCACTGAGTATCACAAGTGTTGTCTCGGTTTTTAGCTCTTTAACACGGAAACCCTCTTCTACCCAAGAGCGAAAGCCACCTTTGACCAGATATGGACTCTGTCATGCATAAGATGATATTAAAATTATCACTAAATTATTTGATAAGAACTTTCTGGAAAAAATATGGAGTGAAGATCCATTTATGCATGTAACGTGAAGAAGTTTCATTAATGCATTTTTCTTAACTTGATCTTATGGCAATTCAAATTCAATTTCCTAGATATCATGTGCATTTATTCAACAAGGCAATGAAATACAAACCATCTACACTAAAATTACATGCCATAGCTTTTCCCTCTCAGAACTTACAACACTGAATGATTAAATGTCCAATCACTGAGAAATCCAACTTAGTTACATATTAAATGCTAATGTCATCTTAAAAAAAATAAGTAAAGAAAATTGTAAAATTTACTACTAATACAATATTTATGTACGTATTTACGAGTACAATAGTTTTGTACATATTTACGAGAACAGTCAATTGGCTTTTGTATATTGCACAAAAAATTACTATAATCTTAAGAGAAAAGAAATAATGATCAACGCATTTCAAAAGACTAAGATTATTAGATCTCCAATTTCTCATTGTTTATCCATACTAGATTTGACCAACTACCTATCCAACCTCCTCTACCTTCTTGACAGCCTATCTTTATCTCAGTAGAGTCTTTTAATGGCTTATTTCGGTCTTCTTCCCCATTACTTAGACAATTATATATTATTTATTGGCTTTAGTCATGCTTGCCTTAGTTCCGAGCTTTCTCAATGATCTTGCTACGCCCTTGGAACGAGTTCCATCAGCATCCATAATCAAAACCTTGGACCTGTCCTATAGAAAAGGTAATAAAAGTAATTGAGACATCACTTCTAGATCTCATAAATCTTAAATAAACAATTAAAGTATGTAAAACGTCTTCACAACTAAAACAACTGTTGAAGAGACTCTGATCAAAGTAGCACAATCCAAGAGGTGTCATCAAAATGATAATGCTGCTAACTTCAAAAAGTAAATTTTTGTCAAGATACATCTCATATTCTCATCATATATATGATTTACAGGACAAACAGTTACTTTGGCTGCAGCAGTCAATAAAAATACAAAGAGGGAAGAACTCGCAGGATATTAAGAATTAGTTTAAGTGATTAAAAAGTTCGACTGTATAATCTATCCTAAGCAGCACCATCTGCACTCCTTCCGCAACTTTGGGAAAAAACAAGGCACTGGAGGAATAAATTATACTAGCTTCTGCTTGTAGACTAGAAGATTATAAATATAAAAGAACTTATGTTAAGTTCACATACTTGCACAATTTTCAGGTTGCGAATAACAGCAGCAAGCAATGTGTCCTCAAAGTCTCTTCCTGTCTTCAGCAACCTTTGCAGAGAACCATCAACCTGAAAATTCACATAAGTTACATAAGTACACAGAAGGAAGCTAATCTTTCTGTGGGATGCATCTTTTTCTTTTTCAGTTTCCTTTGTAGAAAGCCAAGTCTTCGTCACAGGGTAAAGGTTACAAATTAAAATAAATTCAAGTTACAATGCTTAGGAGGTAAAACCAACCTCAGGTAGTGTAATACTAACATATCGAAACCGGGCTGCCCGACGAAGATCAGGAATACCATCCCTTTCCCTGAGATTCTTCACAAACATAATGCCAAACCCAAAAATCAACAGTAAAATCAGGCTGCTCTGGATGGATTGTTCTCCATAACATAATATTGGCATAAAAAAGTGGAAAAGGAAAGGGTTGTAATTGGTAAGAGCTCTGAAGTAAACTATTCGACCAAATAACAACCAATAGAGAAGACAACAAAAGAGAATTAAAAATCATATAAATAATCTCCTACAAAGAAAAGGCTAAAAAAATTTACAGTCTCTTGCCTCAGGCCTAATATCAATGAGTACAACATTCTCGTTGCTGCGTAGGAGCTCCAAAGTTGACTGAGGAGATAAATCTCCAGCATATCCACCGTACTTTAATACCCGATAAGAAACCCTGCAGAAATCTGATGAAAAATGTAACTCTTCCTAGGTCTAAAAAAAGGGGAAGAAGTCATTATCTAATTTCCAATGGCAATGTGAACTAAAGAAAAGATGGAAGTAAATAAGAAAAATAGGAAGATTATACCATATAGTGCCTGACACTCCAAGAAAAAGAACAGCTGGGATGAGAGGATCATTTGGGTCCAAGCCAAGACTTTTTTCAAATCCCTCCAAAGCAGTGGAAAGCTGTATAACACAATGCAAGATTAGCAAGCACATAAGAACCTTGTCAATCTCAATGTTTATTTCAACAATGAAGCAGGTAATTCATAACAACTAAGTTCTGACCATTCCTAATCATTCTTAATATGTCACGATATCCTACTAAATCTATCTCTAGTATGAAAATTAGTAACAAAAAAAGTATCACGAGCATCAAATAGTTTACCTAATGTGTCATTCTATAGTTTACAAGCAAATAAATATGGAATATACCTGTTGAAAAGCAGTTCCAACTGGCCTCAATACTTTTATCACGGTCTCTTCAGATAAATTAAGTGCATCTTGAAATTCTGAAGGAAGTGATTCCTTAGCAGAACTATAAGCATATCCAACATAGCTGATCCCCTGTCCTAAAGAATCCTCAACCACCACGATTGTTCGCCTCAACGCATCAAGTGCAACAAGCCCCACATTACCTGATGTTTGCTTTAAATCACTGGACAAGCCTGTCAACCTATCACCAGCAGATCCCCCAGATTTATTGATGCCGGATATGATTTTATTGATAGCGTTATCAACTGCTTCATTAGCACTTCCGAGAGCAGTCGTCACGGATGAAGTGATAGTATCGAACGAGTTGTTCAGGGCATTTTCTCCTCTATTGATTGTATCAGCAATGGATTCATTCAGCTCAGCAAAAATATCAGCAGCACTTGTTTTCAAATCAGATAAGGAATTTACATTCACATTCATTGAATCAGATACTGAGGCAGGGTCATCTGGTGCACCATCTATTGGTAGAATTAATTCAGGATTTAAGATATCAGTATATTCGATGGTTTTAGTGGTAATATCCATTAGCTGATCATCTCCAGTAGAAAAACTAGAGCTTTCAACAAATTTCAAATTGGTTGGTCCTAAGGAGTGTGATTCATCAATTACCCCAACTGGATAACCAAAATTGGTTAGTGGTTTTATGTAGTCAAATTTGCTCTGACACAACGACCTATTAATACAATCCATGGAGCCAGATCGTTCACCTTTTTCAACAAAATTAGAATAGAAACATGAAGCGGCTTGTCTCTTGAAGGGAACTCTTCCATTTGAGAAGTTGTGGACTATTCCATCCACATTGTTGAAATTATCCTCAAATGTCTTCCAGTATGAGGAAAGGGGATTCAACCCTCCATGGAGAAACTGCAAAATTAATGATTTCATATGCATAAATAATTTCAGATTCGAATTTATTAAATCTATCTTATCTGGTTTTTCCTTTTTTACTGAAATGTCTGAATGTGAGAACACACTCTATTTTCCATCAATACCCTTGTCTATTCGCCCAATTTATCCTCAATAATTTATTTTCATTATAAAAAATATATGTAATTGGAGAATTCATCAGTGACCGTTACTAGAATGCTTGTTTCAACTTTTAAACTATTTCACTATATACATTCAAAAACTACTCGTTTTCGGCTCCCTCAACCATTTGCTTTCTACTACCTGCTCCCATTTTGTAATTATGCACAAAGAAATACAACGATAAGTTGGTTTTTTTTTTTTTTTTTTTTTAATGGTTTTCTACGACCAATATGGAGGCTTTGCTTTTATCAAAAGTATCATGTTGTATAATGGTAGATTACATAAATTATGCCTTTGCCCATTTTGAGAATTCTGTGGTAGTATAAAAATGTATACATTTTCTGAATGATAAGAGGAGCATAGGTTGGCACAATCAAAGTTCAACGTTAGTTCCAAGATTTTGAATTTCCACAGGTTATCAGCAACAACCATGTAGCAACTTATTTTCTTTGGTTAATCTTAAATCAAATTATTTATTTTTCTGAATTGAAATTCATTTTGACATAGAATTGAAGTGTTCATTATGAAGGTCATCTCCGGGCCTCTACCATCAACTTATACAAAACCCTACCAATCAACCATCAGTGTTGATTAGTGTATGTCTAAAGTCCCATGTTGGTTTTATTGATGGGAAAAATTATTAATTTGTTACGTGGACCTACAAAATTAAGTTCAAAATTAAAGTGATCTAATAAAAGAATTAAGTAATTGGACTTTGGGCATCTAAATAAAGTACGGGCCGAATTATATATACAGAGACCAGAGTCCTTGAGAATTGTATTTCATGATAAGCGAAATATATATGGAAACTATATATAAGGTTAGGATCCCCAATTCATATGCAATTTCTCATTATTTATAACACCCATCAATACAAGAATTAATTGAAAAAGTTTATTGAAGAGGAAGGTCAACAACCCCACACAAGGAATCCAAGAATCAAGAAGGAGGATTAAAGAATTCAAGAATCTACTATCAAGAATCAAGACTAAAGATCCAGAAGTCAAGATTCAAAGATTTACATAGCCCCGGTTTGGGCCCCATTTTTTTCCTTTTTTTTTTTTTTTTGCCAAAACTCATTTTTCTATAATATTTGGCAGATGACAGCATCCAACACTTAATTGGTGTCAGAAATATATACAGACAATATCATGCTGTTGAGACTTTGTGACTAATTTGCCCTAAGATGTATTGCACTATGTACATAACTGCCCTCCACCTTTTTTTGTGTGAATTGCACTGAACAATAAATTTAAGGGCAGAAATGGAAAATTAGTAATTCAAAAATCAGCTTCAAGCTTGACAAGCATGTGCCTCATTTATTGTCAGCTCCTACCGTCCTTGTTATCTGACATAGGCCCACAATTGTTGAAAAATGGCCAGAAAAATTGGCCAAGAATGGGGGCCAAACACAAGCTTAATACAGTTGCCTTTTATAAAGAAACGATGTGTGTGAATTCACGTGGTATTAAACATAAATTAATCAATAAAAATTCTGCTTCATTATAGCACAAGCAATCAAGTCACATCTCTCAAAAGAGAAAGGAATAGCTTGAGTCAGAAGGAATTCTTGAAGCCCTTGATTTTATGTACTCGAATGTTTGTGTTAATTATATTAAAGGGAAACAAACAAATATAAGGATATTAGGTGCTAATAAGACTCCGGACGTCTTAGAACTAATTCATATAGATATTTGTGGACCATTTTCTTTTATTTCTTGGAATAGTCAATAGTCACATATTACGTTTATAGACGATTATTTTAGCTATGTCTACCTATATATGATTCTTAAGAAATTACAATCCTGGACGTGTTCAAGGCTATAATTGAAAATCAACTCGGCAAAAGAATAAAACAAGTCAGATCTGATCGTGATGGTGAATACTATGGCAGTTATAACACATCAGGAGAAAAATGTGTGGAATCATCCTACAATACACATAAATCTCTATAGGAAAAAGCACTAAAAACTGCAACTTAAATTCTCAATAAAGTTTCAAGTAAAACAACTATCAAAACCTGCTATAACCTTTAGACAGGAAAGAAACCTAATTTGAAGTATTTGCACATTTGGGATTGTCCAGTTAAGGTAAGGTCTTAGAATATGTAGAATAAGAATTTCTCTGTATGAAGGCCAAACCTGAAACCTAGAAACTCCAGAGCAAGACAAGCAACTATCCACTAAACACTTTTGAAATGCATACCAGCCATTGAAAAATGAACTGGACTCTAGAATTATCAATTGCTAATTATTGGATACTTTAAAAGGTCATGGGGTTACAAATTTTTAAAATCCTAATATCAAGTCAATTTTTGAAATATAAAATGTCAAAATCTTTAAAGATGTAGAGTTTGCGAAGGGAAATAAGATTATAAATTTAAGGATTTTGTCTTGGAGGAAGAATATGTATATATTTCTTCTGTTGCAATTAATGGTTGATCAGGACCAAGGACAAATTTTTGCTCCAGATCTTGTTAAAAAGCAATTTTGGATCAAGACAATATTACAAAACCCCCTATACACAATAAAGAGTATATTCCAGAAACAATCTCAAAAACAAATGTAATTAAGAAAATCCATTAGAGAAATAAAAAAAGACAATTCTAGATGACTTTATAGTCTTTCTCCAAAAATATGAGGAAGGCATTGGATTGATGGAAGAAAATCTGATTAATCAACTTTCATCAAGCCATGCAAAGGAATAATTCTCAAAAGTAATTGACGTCATGAATGAAGAGATAAAGTCCATAAAAGACAATGAAGTTTGAAAACTCATCCTATTACCTGAAGGTGCGAAGCCCAGTGGATGTAAATAGATATTTAAAACCAAGAGCGATTCAAAAGATGATCCGGAGAGATATAAGGCTCGTCTTGTAGTAAATGGCTTTACTCAAAAGAAAGGCATTAACTTTAAAGGGATTTTCTCTCCAGATTCTAAGAAAGACTCCTTTAGGACTATTGTGGCACTTGTGACACATTGATCTTGAGTTACGTCAAATGATTTACAAATTAAAGAAACCCATCTATGAGCTTTTATAGACTTCTTGTCAATGGTATCACAAATTTTATCAAATAATTATCTCGTTTGGTTTTGAGATGAATGCAATTGATGATTGTGTATATCACAACTTCAGTGGGAGTAAGCATATTTTCTTGGTATTGTATATCGATGACATACTACTTCCCTTCACTGATATAAGCTTATTATACGAAACCATTTCTGTCATGAAATTTTGAAATGAAAGATCTTGGTGACGCTTTTTTGTGTTAGGGATACAAATACAGCGGATCGTTCTCGGGGTATTTTCGAATTCACAAAAGAGTTATATCGATACGGTTCTTAAGAGATTTGGGATGCAAGAATGTAAATCAGGTGATACCCTTATTGTTAATGGAAATAAATTTAGTCTCAATCAATGCCCTAAAGATAAACTTAAAGAAGAAGAAATACATAAAATTTCCTATGCTTCAATAGTTGGGAGTTTAATGTGCGCTCAGGTTTGCACACATCAGGATATAGCATTCACCATTAGAATGTTGAGCAAATATTTAGGTAACTTTAGGATGAATATTTGGAAAGCAGCCAATTGGGTTATTCGGTATTTATAGGGAACTAAGGATTACATGATTTCATTCAAGAAAATCAGACCAATTAGAGATTATTAGATATTCTAATTTTGATCATGGAATATAACTATGAAATTTTATCACTGGGCTGCTTATTTTAGATGGAATTGAAAGACTACTTAAGTTATCCTATGACAATTACAGTCTTGTATTACAACAGGAACTCGATGATGTTAAAGTTTACAAACATTAAGTTCCTAGTTGTTAAGAAAAGAATTCAAAGTGTTCAGGCTTCTATGAAACACATTAGGAAAAACTCTACAATTATGGATCCGCTTTGGTGCAAAAGTTTATGAAATTCTTATAATTAGAATTGAAATAAGAAATATATTGAAATAACTTGCTTTGTATTAATTAAATAATGATTATTTGTTATAGAAAGTAGATAATACCCCTATATTTACAAGCAAGATTATTCCTTACTTCCAATAGTATTAGAAAATTGAAACTAATTGAAAATATAATCCTAATTAAATAAAAGATAAAGTCCTATCACAACTATACAAGAAAAGTAAAAAAAATTAAACATAATTGAAAAGATAAAATCCTAGAAAAGATAAAACATAATTGTAGTAGAAAACTATTAATTATAGTTGTGATTTACTTTGCACCTTTTGATAATATGCCAGTTTAGTGAGAGTTTGTACTCGGATCTTTTCTGTTGTAGACGCATTTTTATATGTGAATATTCGGTTTATTTTAGAAATAAAGTATTCGGTTCAATTTTACTCTAATTAAAGTTTAAGGCTGATCTCATTAAAGAATAAGGTAGGACCAATTGGAAATAAACATGTTTGGATCAGATTACAAGCAATTTCCACGCTACACATCCACACTTGATCTATGTTATTTGATTGTATTGATATACGAGACCATTGATACGTTTAGTTATGATACTTGTAACGAAGACTGCGTTGATCCTATATTGAAATAATTGATGAACGAAATTGTTCGAAGATACTTTTGGTTAAGATAGCAAAAGTTTTGAACTCAAATTTATAAGATAACATATGCGGCCTAGGTGGGAGATTATTGGGAAAAATTATTACTTTGTTACGCAGCCCTACATATGTAATTAAATGTATATAACGTTATCTTAAAGTTAAGCTCAAAATTAAAATGATGTAATAAAGAATTAAGTAATTGGGCTTTGGGCATATAAATAAAATATGGGTTAGACTATTTATGTAGAGACCAAATTTTTTTAGAATTGTATTGATAAACGAAATACATATGAAAATTATATATATAGTTATGGTCCACAATTCATACGCAATTTCTCATTCTCTGTATCATCCCAACGACACGAAAATTAATAGAGAAAGCATATTGAATAGGAGCATAAAGGAATCCAAGTATCAGGAAGAATGATTGAAGAATTCAAGAATCCACGATCAATAATCAATATTAAAGATCCAGAAGTCAAGATTTAAGGATTCTAATTCAAGCTTCAAGGTTCAATATTCAAGATACAAACCAGTGATTCAACTTATGTTCCGCATTTAATAATTCTCTCGGTGATTTGAAGGGAATATCTTGGCAATAAAGGAATTTAGATTTTCAAGTTCTAAAGTTCCATAAAAGATTCAACATTTATAGTTACACGTCCCAAATTCACAGGTTAATTATCTTCCAGTCTTGGAGCTAAAATTGAAAACTTACATACTGAGACAAGCATGTTTCTAGGAAAACTATCATATTGATCTCAGTATTCAGGTATTAAATGACATGAACGAAATCCTTTTATAATATTTATTTACATTAATCAAATTCAATGACCTCCGAATCAAGTAAATCCAATTTTCTCATCTAATCTCAATGTTACCTAATCGGTCTTATATAGGGATAGAACTTACAACAATGTACAACCCAAAATCAAATAAATGCCCCCAAAAACACATGAAAATGTGAAATTCCAAATTCCAACGTTCAAAAAGAAAATATCTCACCCGTGAATGATAAGAGCAGCTGGTGGATGCTGAGCAAACAGGCAACATTATCGTTTATATCCTCAATTAAGCTAAATCAGAAAAACCCATTAAGATTTTCTAACTTCGAATGAAAATCTTGAAATGGATTTTGAGAAATAGTAACGGTAGTGTGATTTGTCAAGATTATAGCGATTGTATGAATATATGCGAGTTATTTTTGTTTTATTGTGAGAATTATCCTATGAAATGATGTGAAATGAAGGATGAGAGGTGGGTAGAAATAGCTTCATCTGCTAGACACTCGATTGCCTCTCGTTTTTGTCTCGTGGGGACAAATAGGAGCTGTGTTACTCTGTGTTCGCTCACTCTACACTTGGTTTGATGATAAGTTTCTTTATTTAAATGAAATTGACCCACCCCATATGGAAAATAAAGCTTTTTTCCCATAATGTATTTAACATGTTGGTTGACATGCATTCACATCCGTGTGGACTCCAAGTAGAATCCACTTGAATAAAAAAAATACCCAAAAAAGTGCACCCCCACCCCATTTGTGACTTATGAGTACCATGTGGGAAAAAGTGTCAAACCCTCCCCCAACCAGATAGCTTGATTACCCATATAAACCATGTCGTTGGTTTAGTGGGATTTTGAGCATTTATCTTTATAAATCAAGTTTAAAAGTGTTCGTAAAAATGGCATAAATCCTACTTAAGCCTTCATTTTAATGAAATTTTAGGGAAAAATGTATTTTCGAATAGTAATTTTTTAAGAATGTGTGATTGAAAAAGAAAAAAAAAAATCGAATTTACGTGTAATATTATTTTATTGAATATTGTGTGGTTAAAATGAAAGAGAAAAATGAATTAAAATAAAAATTGAGCTCAATCAAGACTATTTGAGAAGAGATCGCTTGAGCAAAGTCACGTGAAGACCGCATAAATTGATAAAAATTTACCATCGTATATGTTAGTTCGAAAAAGGGTGAACGGTAACAATCAATTTGAATTTCACGTAGCTTATGAAATGCCTACTTTGCGAATTTATCGGTATTAATCATTCTCTCCTTCGAGTCGGTTTCAAGCATAAGTTTATACCTAAAGTGTTTATGGTAAATTTTATTGGTGGTCACCCAACTTTGAACAAGTCTCAATTGGGTCCTCCAACTCTAAAAAGTCTATCAAGTTTTTAAATTTAGAGCATTTATAATTGACACTTAATTTACAAACAACATCTTATGCATAGAGTAGTTTAAATTTAGAGAGTATAATTTTCTATAAACTCTAACAATGCTCTCTATTTTAGTTCTTCATCTTGTTTTTCTTAAGAATTATTTATTGGTTTCTCCTCAACTTTTATTTAAGATAAACTTTTTATATGCCAATGTGAATCAATTCAAACGTGATTTGAATAATTTAAGTGGAATATTGAATGCAATTTTATAAAGTAAAAATAGATTGTCAAACTCACTTTCTATTTTTAAAAGTTAAAATAGATAGTTATTTTTAAACGTTAACTCTTTAAAATAGAAAACACTTATATTCAAAAAAAACTTTATTTTAAATTCAATCACTCTATTAAATGTATTAATGCAATTGATTAGATTTTACATCATCGAATCTTATTAAAACTAGACCAAATGACAAAAATGCACAAAGGCCGAAACTACAATATAATGATTTTAACATGTAACGCCACCTACCAGTGGAGTTTGAGCACAGAGCGTATTAGGCATTAAAGCAGTAAAACATGGACCTCGAAAAGGCTGGAGAAACAAGAGTACTACAGTTACATGAGTTGGAGGAATTCAGAAGAGAGACATATGAGAATGCATCCATTTACAAGGAAAGGACAAAGCAGTGGCACAACAAAAACATCTGGCAACGAATTTTTTGAGTGGGGGATCAAATGCTATTATACAATTCCCGACTTAAGCTTTTTCTAGGAAAATTGAAGTCTAGATGGTCCAGTCCTTTTACGGTCTCTCAGGTGTTTCTCTACGGGATAGTTGAATTACACCTTCCAACTAAAGGAAATTTCAAAGTAAATGGCCAACGCATCAAGCATTATGTGGAAGATTTCCCCACCGCTAAAGAGAGTCTTGACCTAGCTGTTCCCGAATAACTGCGGCACTATGTCCAGCTAATGACTTAAACGAAGCGCTTCTTGGGAGGCAACCCAAGCTCTACCCTTTATTTGATTATTGGTTTTTGCTTTGATTTTGTTGTTCTTTGAATAATCTATACTATAGTAGTAACACTTTCTTTTGTTTTTGTAGGAGAATCCATAAAGTTTACATATTACGGAATAAGAGGTGGAATTTGAATTCTACAATGAAAATGGATGTGTGATAAGGAGGAGGAGTTAAAAAAAAAAAAAGGCTAGTAACACAGCGCCCAAGCACTGCCTGAGTGCTGCGAAACTGCCGAATGGCAGAAACGCAACGCCTGCATTCTGCCAGAATCGGCAGAAACACAGCGCCTAGGCACTTCGACCCGCCCCCTATGTTTTATTTATTTATTTATTTTTTACTTATTTTCTATTTCTTATAACCTCTTGTCCTCTTCCTTTTCACAATACGTAATTTACCCAATCCTACTCCCTCTCATCTTCTTCCCTAACACCCTTAATTTTACCCCTTTTCATCTCCTCCTCAACCCTCCCAAGGTACCATTTTCCCCTCTTTTTCCTTATTTAAGTTTTTTTTTTCTTTGTTGATTTTATTTTGTTTTATTCTTCCTCTTTTCACCTCACCCACATTACAATTCTTTCAATTACACATATTCTCGCCCCCCATCTCCTTGTTGTTTTCAACATTTCATTGTTACAAAGTGTGAATTCATCAATTCCTATTAGTTTCCACAGCACCATTCCAGGTATGGCTTTTTTTTGCTCCCTATTTTTTTCTCTTACGTGATAATTGATACTTATATGTGCCTATTTTTTATAATTATGTTAAGAGGAGGGCTTGCTTCGTTGAGGTGTCAAGAAATTCGTGTATGATGCAGATAATGTGGCATGAATTACTTCTAAATTATGGGCAATTTTTGGTGAAAATTTGGTGCCTTCAAAATGTTTGATGGATTGCCTAGGTGAACATAGTTGGGTATAAAAGAGCTAATGTGGCTATTGTGCTAATTGACTTATGTGGGGATTGCCATGTAGATGATCGTAAATTGAAATTGGGTTTAGAATACATCTATTGCACGTTCGACCATAGTCTGCCCTTATGGCTAGATTTTAAGTCCTGCCTTATCTTCCTTCACTACTGATCACTTTTTTTTTTTTTTTTTTTTTTTTTAATGGTTTTCTACGACCAATATGGAGGCTTTGCTTTTATCAAAAGTATCATGTTGTATAATGGTAGATTACATAAATTATGCCTTTGCCCATTTTGAGAATTCTGTGGTAGTATAAAAATGTATACATTTTCTGAATGATAAGAGGAGCATAGGTTGGCACAATCAAAGTTCAACGTTAGTTCCAAGATTTTGAATTTCCACAGGTTATCAGCAACAACCATGTAGCAACTTATTTTCTTTGGTTAATCTTAAATCAAATTATTTATTTTTCTGAATTGAAATTCATTTTGACATAGAATTGAAGTGTTCATTATGAAGGTCATCTCCGGGCCTCTACCATCAACTTATACAAAACCCTACCAATCAACCATCAGTGTTGATTAGTGTATGTCTAAAGTCCCGTGTTGGTTTTATTGATGGGAAAAATTATTAATTTGTTACGTGGACCTACAAAATTAAGTTCAAAATTAAAGTGATCTAATAAAAGAATTAAGTAATTGGACTTTGGGCATCTAAATAAAGTACGGGCCGAATTATATATACAGAGACCAGAGTCCTTGAGAATTGTATTTCATGATAAGCGAAATATATATGGAAACTATATATAAGGTTAGGATCCCCAATTCATATGCAATTTCTCATTCTTTATAACACCCATCAATACAAGAATTAATTGAAAAAGTTTATTGAAGAGGAAGGTCAACAACCCCACACAAGGAATCCAAGAATCAAGAAGGAGGATTAAAGAATTCAAGAATCTACTATCAAGAATCAAGACTAAAGATCCAGAAGTCAAGATTCAAAGATTTACATAGCCCCGGTTTGGGCCCCATTTTTTTCCTTTTTTTTTTTTTTTTGCCAAAACTCATTTTTCTATAATATTTGGCAGATGACAGCATCCAACACTTAATTGGTGTCAGAAATATATACAGACAATATCATGCTGTTGAGACTTTGTGACTAATTTGCCCTAAGATGTATTGCACTATGTACATAACTGCCCTCCACCTTTTTTTGTGTGAATTGCACTGAACAATAAATTTAAGGGCAGAAATGGAAAATTAGTAATTCAAAAATCAGCTTCAAGCTTGACAAGCATGTGCCTCATTTATTGTCAGCTCCTACCGTCCTTGTTATCTGACATAGGCCCACAATTGTTGAAAAATGGCCAGAAAAATTGGCCAAGAATGGGGGCCAAACACAAGCTTAATACAGTTGCCTTTTATAAAGAAACGATGTGTGTGAATTCACGTGGTATTAAACATAAATTAATCAATAAAAATTCTGCTTCATTATAGCACAAGCAATCAAGTCACATCTCTCAAAAGAGAAAGGAATAGCTTGAGTCAGAAGGAATTCTTGAAGCCCTTGATTTTATGTACTCGAATGTTTGTGTTAATTATATTAAAGGGAAACAAACAAATATAAGGATATTAGGTGCTAATAAGACTCCGGACGTCTTAGAACTAATTCATATAGATATTTGTGGACCATTTTCTTTTATTTCTTGGAATAGTCAACAGTCACATATCACGTTCATAGACGATTATTTTAGCTATGTCTACCTATATATGATTCTTAAGAAATTACAATCCTGGACGTGTTCAAGGCTATAATTGAAAATCAACTCGGCAAAAGAATAAAACAAGTCAGATCTGATCGTGATGGTGAATACTATGGCAGTTATAACACATCAGGAGAAAAATGTGTGGAATCATCCTACAATACACATAAATCTCTATAGGAAGAAGCACTAAAAACTGCAACTTAAATTCTCAATAAAGTTTCAAGTAAAACAACTATCAAAACCTGCTATAACCTTTAGACAGGAAAGAAACCTAATTTGAAGTATTTGCACATTTGGGATTGTCCAGTTAAGGTAAGGTCTTAGAATATGTAGAATAAGAATTTCTCTGTATGAAGGCCAAACCTGAAACCTAGAAACTCCAGAGCAAGACAAGCAACTATCCACTAAACACTTTTGAAATGCATACCAGCCA